TTCAAAATTAAGATTGATATATACAATAAAAATGTGTTTGGAATAACAGTTCGGGGAAAAACGTAAAATCAACAAAGCGTGACGCTTGTGACAATTGATAATTGAGAATTTTTTTAAAAGGCTAAACTCCAGTGTTGCGGAAAATCGATATTGTACCTGACAATGTAGGGGTTATGTAGCGAGTAATATGGATTCTAACAGTAGTAGTAGTAGGAGATATCTGGGATCTAAAATCTGGAGTAACGATCGTCCGTTACACACACATTCGTAAAGATCGATTTGTTTTTGGGGAATAGATAGTATGGAGCTCACGCCTCTTTGAAAGATGGTGGGACAGGCCGGTATAATTGCGGGTGGTACGTGAGGAAATTTGACAATGGGAATGATTAGTCGTCGTCAGTGGCTCGTGACAAAAAAGAGGCGAGCTCTTGGCTGCTTACACCCCTAATTAACAACGCCGGAGTGTGTTATAGACATCTGTGACAGATGTTCCCGCATTATGCAATTTCGCCTGACAAGCTCTGCTCTTTAATTACTTTCCGCCCCCTCCGCTCGCGGCGCGAACATGACCCGTCCTCAGAGACGGTTAACTTTCGTAAACAAGATTAAAATTTCGAGAAGAATTTTTGGTTAGCCGTTTGCATCAACTTGTGGATAAGACACGTGTGGAAGCGATTCCGTTTCGAAACCAGGCCGATGAGATGGGCTCGGTTGTAAAATAGAAAGGTAACGCAAACCTATTTTGATTGGATGCTTCGAATATTTCAATACCGGCAAATGGTGCCAATACCGAAATTAAATGTTATTTTGCGAGAATTTAATTAATTTAATTTAATCATCGAGACGTCAATTGTCGGTTTACGCAATGTCATTGGAATTGTTTTTAATAAATATTTAACATCTCTACGTGTTAGTGCCCATTTCGGGAGTTGCGATAAAATTTTACATTCCGCACGCGACGCCCGCTGCAGATTATGGGGATTACGCTAATTGAAAGAATAATTATTTTTGCTACTGTTTGTATGCAAGCGTTGCCACTGCATCCCATTCTAGCAAATATTACCAGGTTTAGCACCTACAATACACGTTTACACGTGTTCTACCAAATTAACCGGCATTAGACGTTGTAGATTTTTTGGTGGAGGCGCCGGTGTACACAAGATAACTCAAGACTTAGGCGGAACTATCAAAGTTAGGGAGCGAAGCACCATATGGCACCGTTATTTGTCGCCTCGAAATCGACATAATCTTAATATAAGGGAAACCCTTATGTATATATAATATTATATCAATAAACAATATATAATTCTTACATCAAATTCTAAAAGTATAGATAAATGATTTAATAGGAAAAGCTAACCCTTTTAGTATTTTTTTTTTTCACTCCATAAATGATTTCATAAATGATTAAAGAGGGGTTAATCGACACACTTTCAACACGTAAAGGGTTGTTCCTTATGAATATGGAAACGTAACTGTACGATAAAATATTTAAATGGGTTACACATGTATGCGACACCGGCAACAGATTTGAACGGTACACCTAACATTTACTTCGACTTCTTCGTGATTTATGAATAATGAACGTCGAACCTTGTGCCCAACATTGCAATTGATGGACCACCGAAGGAATATACACACGGTTGCTGTCACCGTGATGTATGATTTCAAGACCGCGGCGGAATTCCTAATTACACGTCGCGCGTGCGCCGCGAATAGCCACAAGCAGTAAACGACCGTATAGAGGCCGACTGAGGCGAATTTGAAGTTTTCACCATGCATACTGCAGCCCAAGGCAGACGGGAATTCAACTGTCATCGACACACGCAAGTATAATACATCCAATATCCTAGATACGAGACGCAGGGATCTTATTCCGTTTATTCGTTTGTACTCTCTTCGCGTAAACTGTTTACGTGACGCTATCGATTCCTTCTTCGTTGGAAATTAACAATGTAATTAAGTTTCTATAGGAGCTTTGTAGCTAAATAGTTGCAAGGCTTCCCAATCTGCCCGGAAATGCCCCGGCATTAGAACGTAATTTTACCAGGTAATTGGGACAGTAATAGGGAAATGCCATTTCCAAATACGGACCTTACATAAACGACTTACGCAAGTCCATAGATTATATGCGGCAATGACGTCACTCTTCTATACACTCTATACATTTTCCCGCGTAATTTCTGAAAACCACATCAAAGATGCTTCTATTCAATTACGGGCAATCATAAAATTAAGGTCAGCGGTCCTCCCTAATATATATAGCAGCTACCCTTATTGAATATAAGCCGCCCTCGGGTGTCAAATGTCTTGCTAATGCGTACTTTGAACGACAACAAAATGGAAGGAAAATAATTTTCCCTCGGCATACACCGGAATTAACATATCGGCCGAATCGATCGGATGCATTGAAGCTTTTTTAATTTGTTCGTCCTAAAGCCCCTTCCAAGGTCAACTTTGAGCTTGCATATTAAAACCGCTCCTAGGCGGCACGACGACTACCGTCGTCGTCTGAAATTGAATTTCTCTCCTTCGGCCTTTCTGTGGCTTTTTTTTGTTCGTTTCCATCGGCTCTCCAAAGCTCGCGCTGTCTCTACCGATAAAGCCCTAATTGATAAATGGCCGTTTTCAGTATTTTCGATCGCGACACGATAAATGCATGTGTTTCACATATTGCCACGCTTCGCTGTATGCTTAATGGAACAGTCATGTCGATACCTGTCTTATCCGCTCGGATTTTCACTGTAAAATTTGACGATTGTCAAGCACTTTTTACATCACACACATTTCAAATAAACCACCAACCAAAGTATTAATGAATTTAATGTCAACTCACATGATAAAGAAATTTTTTTTAATATATTTCACAAAATCATGGAAAAATTTAAAAATTTTACTGCAGAGCCTCTGTCGTAAGCGAAGAACAACGAATCTTGGATTTTATACAATTCAGCCGAGGTCGCTTGCGACCGAGGCACTGCAATTAATACCATTTTTACTGAAAATTGATTAACACAGATTGAAAAACCTCGGTCTCTATCGACCTTGGCTAAACTCAGAACATGAATGTTGGATCTTATACAATTCAGCCGAGGTCGCTTGCGACCGAGGCAGTACAATTAATACTATTTCGACTCAAATCTGTTTAACACAAACTATCATGGTAGCAATCGAGTTTGTCTAAACTCAGAAGAACAAATGTTAGATTTTGTATGATTGAGCCGAGGTCGCTTGCGACCGAGGCAGTGCAATTAATACCATTTTTACTGAAAATTGGTTAACACAGATTGAAAAACCTCGGTCTCAATCAACCTTGCCTAAACTCAGAACATGAATGTTGGATTTTATGCAATTCAGCCGAGGTCGCTTGCGACCGAGGCAGTACAATTAATACTATTTCGACTCAAATCTGTCTAACACAAACTATCATGGTAGCAATCGAGTTTGTCTAAACTCAGAAGAACAAATGTTAGATTTTGTATGATTGAGCCGAGGTCGCTTGCGACCGAGGCAGTGCAATTAATACCATTTCGACTCAAATTTGTTTAACATAGATTGCAAATCGTGATAGCAATCGAGCTTGGTTGAACTCAGAACAAGGAATGTTGGATTTTATATTATTGAGCCGAGGCAGTGCAATTAATACCATTTCTACTGAAAATTGGTTAACACAGATTGAAAAACCTCGGTCTCTATCGACCTTGGCTAAACTCAGAACATGAATGTTGGATTTTATACAATTCAGCCGAGGTCGCTTGCGACCGAGGCAGTACAATTAATACTATTTCGACTCAAATGTGTTTAACACAGGCTATCATGGTAGCAATCGAGTTTGTCTAAACTCAGAACAACAAATGTTGGATTTTATACAATTCAGCCCAGGTCGCTTGCGACCGAGGCAGTACAATTAATACCATTTCGACTCAAATCTGTTTAACATAGATTGCAAATCGGGATAGCAATCGAGCTTGGCTGAACTCAGAACAAGGAATGTTGGATTTTATGTTATTGAGCCGAGGCAGTGCAATTAATACCATTTTTACTGAAAATTGGTTAACACAGATCGAAAAACCTCGGTCTCTATCGACCTTGGCTAAACTCAGAACATGAATGTTGGATTTTATACAATTCAGCCGAGATCGCTTGCGACCGAGGCAGTGCAATTAATACCATTTCGACTCAAATCTGTTTAACATAGATTGCAAATCGTGATAGCAATCGAGCTTGGCTGAACTCAGAACAAGGAATGTTGGATTTTATATTATTGAGCCGAGGCAGTGCAATTAATACCATTTTTACTGAAAATTGGTTAACACAGATTGAAAAACCTCGGTCTCTATCGACCTTGGCTAAACTCAGAACATGAATGTTGGATTTTGTACAATTCAGCCGAAGTCGCTTGCGACCGAGGCAGTGCAATTAATATCATTTCGATGTCAATCTGGTTAACACAGACTACAAAACGGTAGTCGCAATCGAAATTGGCTAAACTCAAAATAACGAATGTTGGATTTTGTATAATTGAGCCGAGGTCGTTTGCGATGATTACGCCCAGGTACAACAATTAACACCATATCGACCCAAATGGAGTTAACTGCAAAAACTTGGCCGATATCTTCGGTTAAACTCAGAACATAAGATGTAGGATTTTGGGGAATAACATTTCCAAGGAGTTTGCAATAATTTACATATAAATATATAAAAAAGTTAAAGAATTGTAATTTTTTGATGTGATAAAATAGGAAAAGGATAAATTTTTGGATAAAAATGTTATTGTTATTTTTGTTCAATATGAGTAGAAGGAAGTAAAGGTAATAAATCTAGATTAGTAAAACAAAAGTGTGACGGTGTATTCGGTAAACAAAGAGGTTGTCTTGATATGATACGTGTCAGAGTGACCCGGGAGGCGCGAGTTTTTGGCCGGCGAATGGCGGCGGCGACGGCGGCGGAGTGGTGCTGCCAGTGCCAGTAGTACGCGAGCTCGCGAGCTAAAAGCATGCACACAGTTCACCCCGGGCGAACTTCGCGTAGAAAGCACGTGTTTAAAGAGCTTTGAGACTATCGAAGTATCGTTCGCGTTTAAAATTGGAACAAAAAAATTTAATCGTCGTTCCTCGTGCGAATTTAACAGTCCACGTGTTTCAAGAAGTATTATAGAACGTGGTAAGTAATCGAAATCATTGAGAAGAGGGGATGGCAAATCTTATTTTACACATTCCGAAATCTGAAACTTTCCTCGTCAAACTCAAAGAAACTGAACGTGACAGCTTTGTGTGGAGTCCCTCAAACGGGAGAATTCTCCTTTTCTATTTCGCTTCGGGGAAAATATCGCGCACAAACGCTCGTTACATCGCGCGGAGATGTGTGTTTTTGTGGATTTCTATTTTCGTTTTTTGTTCGTATCGTTTATTTTAAATAACTTATTACAGAATGGGTAAACTTTTAAATTAATGATATTGGAAATTGTACTAATTTTCGAAACGACGCACGTTGAATATAAAACAATGCCTCGTTGTAATTTTTGCAATATGCACCGAAACTCTATAACAATGCAATGACAATTTAACCGTGAATAAATAGAGATGGTATTAATTTACATATGAATAATACAATTCCGGTCAATTTCGGGCGCCCGCTAAGTCCACGGTCGGATAAAATGTAATTTGTTTGTGGAAATTAATCGAACGGAATTGCGCGGTTTCCTTTACGATTTTTCTTAAATAGTTTCAGATGCTGATATGTTAGTTTCTGATATCCGCCCTCCGGGCAAAACCGCTCTCGGCTAACTGCTGAATTATGTAGTCGCTGAAAACTTCCTGGGGAAATTCCTTACGAATTCGAAGTATAATTTATTTGTATAAACTTAGATCCGAGATAAGGCGCTTAATAATCTTTGGCCTTACCAAAGGCTTCTCTTCTCCTTTGAAGTCATTTAATCTTTAACTTTTTCCATCCAAAACACCTTATCGACATATCAACCCCTGAAGCATGTTTCTAAAGTGAAAGAACAGAGGTTCGAAACTGCACTCCACACTTCATTACGATCCTCTGCTCCCTACTACATTGCGTGTATGCCGAAAACCTCGCCCCCTATTTAAATAGAACCCTTCTTATCTCGTTCCCCATCTAAATTGGTAATAACCAACGTGATAAGGACCTTGTTAACCTGAACCAATTTTCCAAATCATTCGCTCTACTCATTTCTTAAGGAATCTTTATGAAATATCGTTATAAAATATCATTATAAGGTATCATTATAAAACATCATTAAAAAACATCGTTATAGAAATCGTTTTAAAATATAACAATGAAACAAAAAAATTAGAATATTTCCTTTGAAACAGAGAACGTTTTGCAATTTATAAATAAAATTGGAAATACGTAATAAGGGATTTCTAAGGAATGCTTTTAAGACAGAAAAAATTATAAAAATTTTAATAAAAACTCCATAAAACATGTTGAGGGTTACAAAATTGTTAGTTTAAGACGGAAACAAATTTAAAAAGGAACTTTTGAAACTCACCGAATCGATATCGCTGCGTCTCCTTTTAATTACGTACTTTGAAAACTTCTTTTCCCGCGTCACTTTTAAAATATCACGCGTGCTGAGTCGCACGACAAATTGCTTATTAAAAAAGTTTCGGGTTTATTCCCTATACCGATTTTTCCGGAACTTTCGTCTCAACAACGACCAAAAAATAAGAAGAGACAAAAAAAATTGAGCGAACAAAGTTAAACATTGTATTTAGATTTAAGAATCTAATTATTTTTTGTCTTTTTTTTGCTTTCTTTGTGCGACATGAACTGTTTGACAGGTTACCGGGTGTGGATGAAGTTTTTCTCAAAGTTCTTATATTCGAGTCCGATAATACGTCTTTATCGGACTAGAACCCGGTTGATCGATGGCTCAGTTATTTAAATAAAACCGCGGCAATTAATTTGCCGCTTCGGAGCGGGTTTCATTTGGGGTTCCGAGGAAAAGTTTCAGGGTTCGAACTTTTTTTTTGTTGTTGTATACTGGTACTTTTTCGATCTAATGGATTAACGTTATTGTTCTCCGGGAGGATTTCGAACCACCCCTAACTCTGGGGCAAACACATTGTACGCTCATTCTTCTTTGTTTTTTCCATGCAACTTGGCAATTAGTCAACACATATGCGTCCCATACTCGCGCTTCAGGCGTCACGCTGCGATTGATCGATGAAAAATCCCGCACTGTGCCAATAGCTTTAATTAAAACAATTACCCCGTTCGGTTTAATCGAGCGATAAACATGTAGGTGTAAAGCGAAAACTTTCAACCCAGTCCATAAATACCAACCGCTGAGTGTAAATTGTAAACCAAACTTAGTTAATGTATTGGCAAAATATATATCAAAGATAATGTTAAAAAATCATTTCATTTAATCCTAATTCTAAAAGTACAGGGTGTCCCAATTTCGATGTCCGCATAGGCTATCTCCGAAACTAAAAGAGATGTGATGTCATGATCTCGTTTTTTGAGAAAATGTTAATGCCGAAAACTCCGAACAGCTATCGTCGTTTGTGGGGTATATTTCTTATGGTTATTGAATAATTAACAAAAATTCATTTTGTTCCATCCAAAACTAATGTATGTATTTAAAAGTTAATGTTGCTATGGTGATAACCAAACATACTATGATGGAATATAATCTATCAAATAATTGCCAAAGTTTGTATTTAAAAATTCGATAACAACTCTGGCATTATGTGCTGATACGATGCACCAGCATGTTAAGTATCAAAGTATAACAAAACTGAATAAAACTACAATGAATTTCGAAAATTATGAAAAATGTTACATGATAGAATGCTATATGTTATCAGATAAGAATGCGACGTTAGCCGCGGAATTTTATTTCACAAGATATCCAGAAAGAAGACAACCGCACGTAAGAACCTTCAGCCGGTTAGCAGAAAATTTAATAGATATTTGGTCCTTCCCCAAACCACATACAAAAACATACCAAAATGACCTGCAAGAGAAATTGCAACAAGACGTCTGACCCAAAAGCCGTTGCTCCCGAATATGAAAGAAAAATAAGTATAAACCATACAAAGCGGGGCTAACTCCTTATTTACGTGCCGGAGATGTCAATCGAAGATTAGAATTTTGTAGATGATATTTAGAAAAATTAAATAGTCTGCTGTTTGTTCAAAATGTTATCTGGACCGAAGAAGTCTCTGAGTGTTCAAAGAAGCTTGGGGTTCAATGTATGGTGTGCCCTTTTAGATAATAGAATTTTGCCATATAGTATCTACCATAAAAACTTAAACTCAGAGAAATACCTCAATATATTAAGGCAGCACTTGAGCCTTTGGTCGACAATTTGGCACTAAATATGTCTCAAATGATATATTTTCAATATGACGGAGCACCAGCACATAATGCCAGAGTTGTTAGTGAATTTTTAAATACTACTACAAACTCCTTGCTACAAACTTTGACAATAATTGGAAACAATGCTTTCCCTCATGGTATGGTTATCACCATAACAACATTAAGTTTTAAATACATACAATAGTTTTAGAAAGAACAAAAAAAATTGATACATTATATTCCATCATAGTATGTATGGTTATCACCATAGCAACATTAACTTTTAAATACATACATTAGTTTTAGATAGAACAAAATGAATTTTTGTTAATTATTCAATAACTATAAGAAATATACCCCACAAACTATATATATTTGTTATCAGAAGAAAATAACAAATTATTTTAAGTCATAGCCAACTATGGTTTCCATTTAAAAAAATAAAGTTACGTCTAAAATCTCGAAAATAAAAGATGGGAAAAAAATTCTACCTACGCCACTGAATTCTTCGTAAAAAGTTGCCCATATAATGTTTTATTTATAATACTCCATCTTTGATAATAAGTGAGATATTCGCGATTGTCGTTTTCGCAAAGTTTTCAGTTTTTGCCGATAGGGCGATTTGGAGTTTTCGGCATTAGCATTTTCTCGAAAAACGAGATCATGACATGTAAGCTACTTTTTTTCTATCTCTTTTAGTTTCGGAGGTAGCCTATGCGGACATCGAAATTGGGACACCTGTACTTATTATTAGAATCATTTGATACAAAAAACTTTTTCCCATCCATCATAGCTTTTCAGTTAAAAACCATGTTGACATTGTAAAATTTCGGCTGTTTTATTAAACACATAATTTAGTTTTCTCTGTAATTGATACACAACCTATATTAATTAATACCATACGAACTCAAAACAGGTCATGGCATTGCAGCTCCTCAATTGCAAGAGACCACAACTAAATTTAGTGCTGAGAATCAACCTTGGCTAAACTCTACGCAGAGAAGTGATTAATTCTTTTCGTCAGGTCATACTTATATGTACACTAAACATGTATGGTATTAATTGCAACTCATCGAAAGAAGTCATAGATAGTTCGCAGTAAAGTTAGCCCTTATATCATTATATATCTATTATATATTAAACCTGTTTGCCGAGGATATCTAAAGTCCTCCAGGTGACCCTAGATACCATTTGGTACCCTAACTATCCAAGGTGAAGAAATTCCTTTCTCAAAGGAAGTCAAATATCTAGGAGTAATCCTAGACAAAACCCTGTCATGGAATGGACATTTGCAGTTAGTTTTGCACAAAGCTAGACTATCCTTGTGGACTTGTCGCAGTCTTTGTGGAAAAAATTGGGGTCTTACCCCTGAAAGACTGTACTGGCTCTATGTGACTGTGGTTAGACCTATGATCACATACGGAGCAGCAGCCTGGTATATATATTTCACGAATTCAACGTGTAGCTGGATTGGCAATCTCTGGTGCGATAGGCACAACGCCAACTCTAGCAATGGAGGTTCTGCTTGGCCTATCTCCTCTGCATTTGCATATAGAGAAAGTGGCTAGAACAACCATTTACAGATTTAAGCTCAAAACTGTTCCGACATGTCCTACCAATGGGCTGCGGAAGACATTATAAGCACTGATACTGTGCTATCAATGCCGTCAAATTTAACGGTATCACTATCAGTGATTAATGCTCGATACCAGATTGTACTGCCTGAGCGGCAGTCCTGGATCGAAAATGAAAATTCTCTGGTTCGGGCAGACATTTGCTTGTACACAGATGGATCAAAAACGCCTGAAGGGGTAGGAGCAGGA